CTCCTCTGCTGAGCAGACCCCCCTCGTCCCGACCCACTGGCCCGCCCCCACCTCTGCCGCGCCGCCCCTGCACACCCAGGTGCCCTGCGGGAGCTCGGCAGCTTCTACCAGCAGAACGGCCCCCGCAGCCGCCTCAGCGCCGACGCGGCGTCGGGCATCCTGGCGCACCTGGACGCCGTCGAGGCGGCGCTGCCGCCGGAGAAGAAGGGCCTGCTGGGGATCTGATGGCTGCAAGAGCCTTGTTTTCCAAAGAGTTCCAAAGAGTTCCAAAGAGTTCCAAAGAGATGGCAAGGGTGAAATTGAGTCAGGAGACCTGTATTTCACTGAAACTGGCTGGACACAGGTTGCGGCGCTTGCGGCCTTTTTGTAACGGTGTTTGCGATGTTTGGTGGCAGTTCGGCTTTGAGGCTAGCCAGACCTGGGCCATCAGAAAGGCAGCAAATCAGAAGTTGACCAAGGCCATGGTGGATCAGCGGCACGCGCAGTGTTGTGTCACAAGCAGCTGGCGGCCGACGGCACGGGGGGCATGCGTTGCACGTGGCGGCCACATTGTCAGTGGCCGCACTCGTCACGCATGCGATTTTTCACCGCCTGAATACTTTTTCTCAAGATGGACAAACTGAGACACAACATGCAAAATAAACATGAAGACCATTTGCTGCATTAGTATCTCTGCTCGAACATCACGTTTCCGGTTGTTATGTGGCCTGTCGTAGTGCAGTCATCACATGTTTCTGCCTGATGATGCAGGTTCTTGCACAGCTTGTGAAGAGGAGCCGCCTGAAGCGTACCTTGTCCAGCGATACTACGGCAGGGGGTGATAGGGATGGGTTAGCTCCCTTGCTGCATGCCAGCCAGTGACATGCCTGTCGACAGGGGCTGGCATCTGCAGGCGGCAACTAGCTACCCCAGGTCCAGCCCGCTGAGCCGATGATGCCAATCGCCCCTGCATGCCATCCCTTCCACATGACCTCATAAGCTCGTTGTGGCTCGCAATTATACACCTGTGCAGAGCGACGTGCGTTTCATACAGGGGTAACCGGGCATGTCACTACGTCACCATTGAAGCCAATGCTGATCAGGAGGCGGGCACTTTTGATCGTGGGCCCTGGCCCCTCATCGCATTTAAAAATCGAGATGTTCGCAAAGATTTTGCCAGTATGCGCGCTTCACTCGAAAACCAGCGCCTTCTTTCAATGGGGGTGGCAATCTGCGCGGCAGTGCTGCTGGTCCAGGTCCCCGTCGCCCTGGCTGATGCACAGGGCTCAGACGGATCGATTGGATATGGGAAGCTTGGCAGCCTCCTCGGCAAGGGCAAGGCAGGCCCCGACATCGCGGCGTTCTCGGTGGCCATGGGGAAAGGCAAAGGCCGGGGACTCGAATACCCCCCTGCACCCACGGACTGGTCGGCAGGCGTCTGTACCGGGTGCGCTGGGGGGCCGGCTGGGCGGCGCCGGGGCGCCGTCGGTAATCTCGTAACCAGCTGCTGGGCCGTCGCGGGGTTACCTGATATGCAGTACGCAGCACGCGGCCAGCTCATCCAACTATCACCAGCCGCACATCAGACACCATTCACAGCCGAACGCAGCTATCTTGCTGACGTTCGCTGTGGCGGCCTTGCTTTGCCAGCCGCCGCCCCTCCGCCCAGGCTGAGTTTCGCCGAAAGCAACACGCTTGCCTACCCACACCACCTCATCCGACCAAACCCCTGCTCGCCAGGTACCCTTTCTGCGTGCCCCCTGTGATCCCGCCCACCCTTGCTGAACCGGCTGTGTCATGCCCGAGCGGGTTCACCCTGGACGGCAGTGGCGCGTGAGTGGGTGGCAGCGCGTTGCAGTCAACAGGACAGCGGTGGAAGCGAGGGCTGCTTGGGATTCCCTACTTGACGGTGAAATGGCATGGGACTGATGCTTATGCCCCTTGGGATCCAAGCAAGCCCAGGCCGGGCGCCAGAACACGCGCAGCAATGAGCTGTGAATTCAAGCACTGCTTATTTGCGATGCTGTTGCTGTTGAGCCAACTGCCTGAGCCTGCCATCAACCCGGGGCTGCAGGTGCGTCTCTTCCCAGGATATCTGCATGTTTGGCGCACAGGTGAATGAAAATATGTTAGGAGCAACCAACTCGAGAAGTCAGCGCTGCGCAGGCCCGTCGCGTGCCTCGGCCATATGTTGCCGATGCGTCATTATCGCTGCTTGCTTCGCGCTATCCCTGCCCCTTGCAGCCCTCACCGCCATACATACCTTGCCTGTTGCAGTTCTCACGCACATACACGCACTCCACACTCGCTCGTGTGCAACTTTTTCTTTCAGATGACCAAGGGCAAGTGCTGCGTCCAGAAGACCACCACTACCTGCTTCGCCTCGCTCGAGGTCGCCTGCCCGAGCGGCTGCAACAGCCTGGGCAGCCTGTGCGCGCCAAACAAGTCATATCTGGACGTTGTCAATGTGCTGCAGGTGCAGGAGGTGCCCAACCCATCATACAAGGTGCGCGCGCAGCGCCGCCATACCGGGCCGTGGCGTCGTCGGCGGACGTAAAAGCTGAGGCGGTGCACAGGCGTGGCATTGCAGCTCCGTCACTGGTGGCTCTGCTTTGTGTGTTGCACTCAACAGGGCTCGAAGGAATGTGGCTTCTTGCAAAGCGAAACAGCCTCAAATAAAGACCAGCTCGGGTCCCAGTTTCGTGCACCATCCTCGGAGCGAAGATAGCTGCGCTGCGAACAACGCACCCCTCTCTGCATCCCTCTTCGAACAACCCGCAACTTCGCACCTTGCACGCCACCATCCCGCACACCCCCCCCCCCGGGCTGTGCAGGAGGCGGCGGACGGCAAGGCCTGGTTCAAGCTGGGGCTGCCGATGTTTGACCTGGGAAAGGGCGCGCTGATCGCCGGGGCCAAGGCCGCCATTGTGAGTCGTCCAGCAACACGCACGCGCAGCCTGCCAGCCCACCTTTCTAGGGCTTGCAGGGCTCGTTGGACCCGGGGGGTGGCAAAAGCCTCCTGCATTGCGCTGAAGCCAGATTGGCGTGTGGCTGGTGGCTGTGACGTGTGGAAGGGTTGGGACAGCTTGGTGCAGATGCCAACGTTGGGAAGCGGGCGCGCTCCAAACGAGTTTCCGCCGCTAACCTTCCCTTAATGCGCTGCTCGCATGCCCCTGACTTCCGCGTACCCCAGGAGAGCAAGCTGATTGGCGTCTCCACGCTGGGCAAGGGCAAGGGCTGGGGCAAAGGCAAGGGCTCTTGGGCAAAGGTGGACGTCGTGCCTCAGTGCTTCTCCAAGTGCTGCAGACCGTAAGCATGTGTTGCTTTGACGGGGTTTTGTCAATGTTGCTGTTTGGCCACATTCGTTTGAAGTCCCTGGCATCTCTGTGCTGTCTTAATGCTGCTGATTGCTGCCTCGACAGGCTGCCCCCCCAACCCCCCAGACGCCCCAATTCCCAGCAGTGCTCGCGGATACTTGTGTCGTACCCCTCTGCAAATAGGTATTCTTGAGCACCAATATCCTCGATATCCTCAACCCCCAATAGTGAGAACGAAGTTGTGTGCATGGAGCCCAAAGTCAGGACCATGTACGCACCGACCCTGGCCAACTGCCCGCCCGGCTGCGCCGGCCCCATCGGCGGCGCGTGCGTCTGCAACCCTGGCGGCCCGGCGCCTTGCCCTCCTGGCACTGACGACTGCCCGTCCCCCGCTGGCCGGTGAGCCTGGGTGTCGGAGAGCACGAAACAGTGATCAGTTGCAGGCGAGACAAGGGCTTGCATGTGTGATGCACGCCCTTCGAGTACTTACAGAACCACTCAAAAGCTGACATTATCCATGATCTGGGTGGTTCGTTGTGGTATTGAACATGACACGCGATGCGTGACATGGTGCGCACGTACGCCGTCCCGGCAGCGGCCGCGGGCGCTACCCGGACCAGAAACTCAGTTGCGGGCCCTTCACCCTGAACCCTGTCCACACCTTCCTCAGGATCTGCGTGTCGAAGTCCCTTTGCTACGGCCTGAACCAGTGCAAGATCGCCTCCATCCTCATGCCCCACCTGCCGCCCGTTACGTGCCCTGGCGGGGCCCCAGCCACGCCGGCGCCCGCGCCCGCCGCGCCGGCGGCGTCGGTGGCCGCCAAGGCGACTGCGGCTGCCTCCACTGGCGGGAAGTGAGCAGTCTTGGCGGCGCGCCTGTCCAGGGTTGGTCCGCTGGGCTGAGCTGAGCCAATCCACCCAACAGCTGTGATGAATGGGACACAAGGCAGGGCAGCAGCTGCAATCCTGCCCCTTGATACTTGCTGCTAGCATGTGTCGAAGTTATTTACTGAGGCAGCACAGCCGATTGCTTAGCGAGGGGCCTTTGCGCACTGAGGTGCATGCCCACACCGTGGCCGCCTTGAGGGGTTGCGCTCTTGCCATGATACTGGCTTCAAGCTTGGCACACAGGCTGCGCACTTTGTCAAGTTGCGCGTTGATGGATTTCACCTGGCCACGCCCTAAAAACCAACGCATCCAAAGCACTGCCTGCGCCCGTGAGGGCGCTGCTTCCTTGTGCGGTGCAGAGTTGGCTGGCTGCGTATCTTCCAATTGTTGAGTCATGGGCCGTGCATATACGCCCGTGCCCTTACATACGTCTGCGTGCCTCCTGTGAGGCGTCGGCTGTGAAAATGTTCTAGGCCGTTGCTAGCCACCTCCTTTGTTGAGCTTCTCACAACAGCAAACCGCTGCCCGGCTGCTGGGGCACGCCATCCAGTGCACTGCCAGCCCCGTCTCTGAAATCACGTCAGGCCGTTCCCCTGTGCGTGTGGCCACTCATTTATGCTGATGATACGATGAGCAATGTGCGCAACCAAGCCGCGACATCATTGCCCCAATGCCTGCCCTGCATGGAAAATCACACACAATGTAACACTCCTAGCTGTGCCTGCCAATATGACGCGGCGCTCTGTGGGTGCCGCCCACCTTGAAAATCCAATACTTGTTGTTGCTGAACTGTAATCACTCTTCAGAAACGAAGGCGCACCGTATTCCCCGTCCAACTCTGTGGATGCAGGCAATGCCACGACTTCAGCTGCCGGGCAAGGCCGGTTCATCTTGTGCAGGGCCTTGGGGCGCTCAAGAGGCAGCCACCAGTCGGTCTACGATGACAGGGACCCTCGCGCTGCCCCCGGCAAGCAGTGTGGCCTCGCGCCTCCTTGCTATCAGCCTTGCACCCTCTGTTAGCGCGCCTTGACTGCTGAAACCCAACTTACAGCGCTCCCTTCTCCCTCTGCCTTGGTCGACATACACACGGCGTGTCCCCATTCCTCGCCCTGCCCCTCCTGCCCCTCGTTCCTTCACATCCTCTTCACGGCACTCTCACAACACCTCATTCAACACACAAAACCTTCATACGGTCTCGACAGCCTGAGCCAGCCATTACTTTTCGGACGACGCATCACTCAGCGCCTGCTGCACCTCTGCGCTTGCACCAGCCGCTGCCCCCTGGAGCAGCATCTCCACCAACGGGTTAGATCCGCTGGGCTCCTCAAACTCGACCCTGAGGCTTCCTCCAGCCCCGGCCCCCTCGCTCGCGCCGCCGCCGCCGCCCTGGCTTCCGAATGCAAGCGAGCTGCCGGCCGACAAGACGTATGCCACATTTGGCCGCGCCTCCTCGCCGTCGATCCAGGTGGAGGATGAGTCGAAAACCGACTCGCCGACGAGGGCGGTGAGGAAGAGCTGGCGGCCTTTTTGGGTGAACTTGGCGTGCTGGGGGGCGACTGCGGGGAGGCACAGAGAAATTGCAAGTTGATGCTTTGGGAGGGGAAAAGAGGGCGCAGAGGATGTCTGTGTGTGAAAGCATGCGGGCGTGCGCGTGCGGGCCGGCGTCGCGATGCCCTCACGGCGACAACGGCAGCATCGCAGCATGAGCAAGCGCGTGAGCACCCTCTCTCTCTGGGCGACTGATTGATTTGCTGGCACTCTCACCTCCTGGACCCTGGATTCGCAGGTCGGCTGCAGCATCTGACCCCACTACCACTACCGGCTTGTCATAAGACAGCGGTTGGCCACCCGATGCGCCATGCAGAGTGAACGCGCTCGCCACGCCCTGCCGCCGCAGTGGCGGTCTACCATTGCTGATGCTGCTGACGATACAAGGAGAATTCTTACTAGTCTTATAGCCTCCCCTGCTAGTGTTGACACATATAGAATTGCCTGCACAAAGCAACGACATCAAGATCGCTTTCGAAGAGGATGCGTGAGCAACGCGGCAAGCTGCTTTACAAGAACAATATTAAGTATATCAAGCAAGATTGTGGTGCACAATGGAGGTTGCAATGCCCTTGAGTCACCGCAGTTACTCGTCTCTCGTGCAGCAATGCGTATGTTGGGCTGTAATATGGTAGCAATGACCTTAGATTCGTATTAGTGGATCACCAGCGCGACCGTTTCCCCAGATCTTATGATCCTGGCAGGCAGTTTGCGATCCAGAGCTGCAACTAGCAACCACTCAACACGCAGAAGACTGTGTCAGTGCATCAGTAGCGCACGTGGTGGCCAAGACTCTCGCCATGCGTGTCGTGTATCGGCTGGCAGCAGTGCTCGTGGTCACCGGTCAGCTCGCCGCCTGGGCGACCGGCACAGCTGCCAGCCCCGCTGCCGCCGCGGCGCCGTGCAAACGCAGTGAAAACCTGCCACCCGTGCGTATATTGGCGGTGGGCGACAGCCTCACCAACGGTGCGGTGCCGTCCTCAAACCAGAATCATCCCTATACCATCAGGCTGGGGCAACTGCTCGAGTCCGAGCTACGACGCCGCGTGGACGTCATCACAACAGGTGACAAGCTCTTGACCATTTACATTTGGGGCGCCCACCTGATGCACCAAACAGCACATGCAACTTCAGGCTGCATTGTGTGTGTTGCTTTGCGAGCGGCGCAATATGCCGCGCGCTGGTGCAACATCTGCGGATTCAGCACCAAAATGTCACAGGTTGGGGCTGCTGTGCCAATCGCCCACCACCAGCTACTTGCGACCAATTCCGATTCAAGCAATTGATTGAGACGTGCAAGCACTGAGGCGTCCCAGTTGCATCCTGAAACCCCGCCCTGGCAAACTGCTTGATTGACACCGACAGGCGCAAACGGAGGAGGCTTGCTCCTCCCAGGGGTTGACCAGTCCGGCCAACCGGTAGTGGTGGGCACACTGCTTGCCATGGAGGTCGCCAAAGCAAGCAGCAGCAGCAGCGGCGGCGGCGGCGGCGGCGGCAGCAGCAGCGGCAGCAGCAAGCGGCCTTATGATGTGGTATCAGTCATGGCTGGGATCAACGACCTCGGCCGTGGCAACAAGACAGCAGGCGCGGTGATGGCGGCACTGCAGGCAGTGCTGACGAAGGCAATCGCGGCAGCCACCACAGCTGTTGTTGTGATATCTCCCTGGTGAGCGAATGGCACTGGGGGAACCGTGTGCTTGCTTGCCTGGGCTGAATTTGGGGTATATTTGGGCCTGATGTCTACCGTCAGACAGGTGTTGCCTGAAAACCATCATTGCACAGCGTGTGCTACTAGCAGTCCTATTCAATCAGCTGCTCCCTCTCACCCGTGTTCACCTCTGCGCTGCCTTGCGGGCTCTCTGACCAGGGCAAACCGCTTCGTGGCGCGTGGCAGCGACAACGAAGTGCAGCGCCTGAAGCTCCTGGCCATGCTCAAGCAGTACGTCGCCGCGCATTCAAATTCAAACGCCGACAGCTGGCCGCGCCTGCTGCTTGACGATGCGGCAGAGGGGCCCTTCAACTTCTGGGAGCAGCCGGAAGAGCAGCGGCGGCGGTATCAAGATGACGAGCTGCATCTGACGGCGGAGGGCTACGACTTTTTAGGCGGCCACGTATTTGGGATGCTGCTTGACAGCGGGGTGGTGGCAGCGCTTAGATGCGGCGTCGGGTAAGCGCGCCGGCGCATGTGCTGGCTTGCTTGCGTGCATGCGTGTGTGGTGTGCTTGTGCATGCGAGCAAGCGTGTGTGATCAAACGCATGTGTCCGTGCTCATGTATGTATGTAGCTGGGCATGTGGGTTTTTTGCCTGCACCCACAGAGGGGCTGCGTCCAGCAGGCGTGCAGTAGCCTGTGGGAGGGCACGCTATCCGTGGGGACAATGCAGTGCTGCACACTGACTTTGTATGCAACCCGCCCCGCGTCCGTCCCAGTGACCCGGAGGCTCCAAAGTCGGCGGCGCACAAGGCAGCAGAGGCGTCAGCAAGGACACTGGCTTACAGCGATGAAGTGGGGGCGATGCCTGGCACCTCTGCGCCCCCTGGCGCCACGGTGCCGAGCCAGACGCCAGGCACGGCCCTCAACCGTGCGCGCCCCACTAGGGCCGTGCGCGCGGCGGCCATCGTCTCGTGGGCGGCTGGTGTGTTGATGGTGTCGTCCCTGCTCTGACCAGGCGGCGCGGAGCTGCGTGACGTCCTGCAAATGTGTGTCGGCGGTGTTTCCAACCATTGTATGTCATGATTCAGCACTCCCTGTTTGTTTTACTTTTTTGGGGCGCCCTGGAGGTGTTACTGGCCAGAGTGGGAGTCAGTATACTGGTTCCTGAGACAGCCAGTGTCCAATGCATGCTCTCTCAACGCATGAATAGAGTATGTCACGATGATTGTTAGTCCTCTCGCCAACCTCAATTGGCCCAGGTTTGAACCTGCCGTCATGGGCGTCCATGTAATAGTTGTGCGGATCTCACGAGCGGGGCGGCAGTGTTTGCGCCGGGTGCGTGGCGGGCTGCCCTCCGGGCTTTTGTGTGAGGCACGGTGTAGCCGCAGGTGCCTGCTTTGGTTGAGCAATTGTGCAGGCGTGTGCCGTGTATACATACAAACCTCGCTTTGGTGCTGGGCGCCATACCTTGCCTGAGGTTTGCTGTAATACAGTACTTCTAGGCGATGGCACTTACAGCTGCAATGTCACCTGCCGAATCCGAAGGAACATAAAGCTGCAGGTCACATTACACAGGAAGGGGCATGTTTATTCTCAAGTCATCGTGCTGGTTTTGTCAAGTACTGTACGTGTGCCGTTGACCCACGTTTGATTCAGTCGCTGAATGTGAAGCGACTATATGCTCTGTTGTGAGTGCGTGTGTGCGTTTTTGTATGTGCGCGCGCACATGGGTCGCAAAGTGCGGCCTCAAGGGTTGAGACTTGCTTGGCCAACTGCCGTCAGGCAGCCTTCAATCCCAGGGTTGAAAGAAGCTGCTGGCCCTCAGGCCGGTGCCCGTGCCAGAAAACACGCTTGGTTCGCACAAAGAATGCGGCTGTCTCAAGCAGCGGCCCCCACAAGGGCTGGACCCACTGCTAAACATCAGTCGGGCTTGCAAGAGCGGCCCCTCGGCCCTGCGCGCAAATGTGGTGGCACATTAAAAGCCTGAAAGGAATACCTCCTGCTGCCTCGCTGGGTAGCTCTCCCAAGGCACGCTGCCAGCGGCCTCACACTCTTGCTACTGTTGATCCCCATCCCTCGCTACAGTGCAGTGCGCACCCGCGGCGCGGCGCGTCGGGACACCCTGGCCCCCACCGCCGCGCCAGCAAGGCGTGCATGTGCATTGCAGCAACCCACCGCCCACAGCCCCTGTTTGCCAAGTAAAAGGAACCCCAATGCCGGCGCGTAGATGCGTCAGTAAGCAGGGTGCGGTCCAAGGCCCCACTCTGCTGCCGCTTGGTCAAGGATGGAGTCAGCCGACAGGGGGCCAGCTGCGGTTCAAAATGGCACCCAGGTACGCACACTGCAAAAGGGGCGATTTTTGCCCAAACGCCCGCGCGCTGGGAATGCAAAGTGAGGGGGCGTGCACGCACTGGCGCTGTCGCAGCGCTCCGAGGAGGGTGATGCCGCACCGTTGTGACATCGGCGCAAGGACAGGTGTTGTTGTTGGAAAGCACACAAGGAACGCAGCGGCTCGCCAGGCCCCAGCAAGTGATCGTGAAAGACAGATGCAGGCAGGGCAAAACC